TCGAACCCGCGGGCTCAGGCAATCCACTCACTTCAGCCTCCCAAAGGCGTGGGATTACAGACTGAGCCACCGAGCCCAGCTTGGGCTTGATTTAAAAAAAAACATTTTGAGGCTGGGTATGGTGGCTTACACCTATAATCCCAGCACTTTGAGAGGCCAGGGGTTTGAGACCAGCCTGGGCAACTTGGTGAGACCTCATCTCTACAATAAATCAAAAAATTAGCCGGGCGCTCTGGCACATGCCTGTAGTTCCAACTAATTGGAAAGCTGAAGCGGAAGGATCACCTGAACCCAGCAGGTCAAAGCTGTGGTAGCCGTGAGTATGCCACTGTACTCCAGCCTGGGTGACAGAGTGAGACTGACTCAAAAAATCAAGGCCAGACATGGTGGCTGATGTCTGTAATCCCAGCACTTTGGAAGTTGGAGGTAAGAGGATTGCCTGAGCCCAAGGTTTTCAGACCAGCCCAGGCGACTTGGTGAGACCTCATCTCTACAATAAATCAAAAAATTAGCCAGGTGTGGTGGTGCGTGCTTATAGTTTCAGCTACTTGGAAGGCTGAGGCAGGAGGATCGCCTAAGCCCAAAAGGTCGAGGCTGTGGTGTGAGTATTCCGCTGCACTCCAGCTTTGGTGACAGAGTAAGACTTCCGACTCAAAAAAAAATTCTAAAGTAGCTATAGGAGGAGTTGAAGAATAATGCTCCAAACAGAGCAACACCACATACAAAGAAAGCCCCTGAGTAGGGAATAGTTACTGTGTTGTAGGACCTGATCAATGTACCTGGAGCACTGTAAGCAAGGATGACAAGTATGAGACAAATTGGAGAGGTGTGCAGGAACCAGATCCTGAAAGCCCATGGTAAGAAGTTTGGATCTGATTCTAAGTGCAGTGGGAAGCCAGTGTAGGATTTCAAGCAAGTGAGAGACACTACCAGATTTATGTTTGCAAAAGCTTTTTTGGATGAAGCTTTGACTGGGTCACATGCCAAAAGTTGGCTTCCCAAAATATGAAGGAACACAGGCAAGTTTAAGCCCTTTAGGCTTTCATTTGACTAGAAAATAATAGGCTGGGTGCAGTGCCTCATGCCTATAATCCCAGCACCGGGAAGCTGAGGTAAGAAGATTGCCTGAGCCCATGGGTGCGAGACCAGCCTGGGCAACTTGGTGAGACCTCATCTCAACAATAAATAAAAATTAGCTGGGCGTGATGGTGCATGCCTGTAGTTCCAACTACTTGGAAGGTTGAGCCGGAGGGATCACCTGAGCCCAATAGGACGAGGGTGCAGTGGCCATGAGCGTGCCATTGTACTCCAGCCTGTGCAACAGAGTGAGACTCCAACTAAAAAAGAAAAAAAATTTTTAAAAGGAGTAACAAAAGTAGATAAAGAGCGACATTTATTTCAGAAAAGAAAGCTTCTGGTTTCTGTGTGATGAGTGGGCTACAGGAGACAACAGAAGAAGCTGGGAGACCACTGTGGAGACTGTTGTGGTCATTCAGGGAGGTGACCATGGTAGCTGGACCAGGGTTGTGTTGAAAGGAGAGGGAGAAAGGATTAAAGAATGCCTCTTAGGGTTTTCAACTGAGCAATCTGGCAAATGGTGGTGCCATTTACTGAAATGAGGAAAATTGAGTGCAGCATAATGCAAAAGGGGAAGTGTAAATGTGTTTGAGGCTTAGAAAGATGAGCAGTGGTCAGATCATAAAAAAGGTTTTAAATCTGGCAAAGAGTGTTGGACCTTATCTTGTAAGCACTGGGGAGCCATTTGCTTTAAAGCTGCTTTCAAAGGTTTTAAGCTGAGAAGTGCCATGGTCAGATTTGTTTTCAGAAAGATCACCGTGGTAGCCAAGGCAGAGAAAGCCAGTGCAGAGAAGGTAACATTGGAGCAAAAAAGCCCAATAAGGCTCCTGGGATATTATTGCCTGACATCAGATTATGAGGCCTGAATTAGACTAGTAGAGATGAAGGGCACAGATAAGAAATACATCAGGAAGTAAACTCTGTAGGGATCAATAACTGGTGAGATATTCTAGGGAGAAAGGAATGGGGGTAGGGGCATGGTCAGGGATGGTGGTTGGCACTGATTGGCCATTCCACCTCCTTGCTCTAGATGTATAATATAGGCCTGTCACCAGATCCCAAAGAAGCAGCAGCCATAGAGGCTAGAAGAAATCGAGAAAAGGAGCGACAAAGCCGATTCTTCAATGTGCGGAACCGAGTCATAGGGGTGAGTTGGGTAGAGGGGATTATTGCTCAGGACTGGAGCCCCATCGCTCTTATACCTAGAGAAGAGTATAGCAGTGCCCTTCATAACCCTTCCCCTGATTCAAGCAGGCCTCTAGGACTGGAAAGAACAGAAAGGGGGATAAGGCATCCTACAGGCCTGGGAAGGGCCTGGGACTAGGGATGGAGTAGTGCTATTGACTTTAGGCCCTATGGTATTTAGTACACATAAAGAATATTTGGGCCGGGCTCGGTGGCTCAGCCTGTAATCCCGCGCCTTTGGGAGGCTGAGGTGAGTGGATTGCCTGAGCCCGCGGATTCGAGACCCGCCTGGGCAGCGAGACCTCATCTCTACAATAAATCAAAAAATCAGCCGGGTGTGGTAGCGCACACCTGTAATTCCGGCTACTTGGAAGGCTGAGGCGGAAGGATCACCGGAGCCCAGCAGGCAAGGCTGCGGTGGCCAGGAGCAGCCACTGCACTCCAGTCCGGGCAACAGAGTGAGACTCCAACTCAAAAAAAAAAAAAAAAGAATATTTGGTATTACTAAACTATCTCTGCAAGGCTACATAAGAAACTATTAACCAGGCTGAGAGACAGAGATGGAGTCTTCTCCTCACTAAACTGTATTCCCTTTTGTACTATTTTGAAATGTTTTAAATGAATTACAATCAAGATAAAGAGAAAATATTGATAGTATAAGAAACAAACAGGCCAGGCATGGTAGCTCATACCTATAATTCCAACACTTTGAGAAGCTGAGGTGAGAGGATTGCTAGAGGCCAAAAAAGTTTGAGACTAGCCTGGGCAACATAGTGAAATCCCATCTCCATTTAAACAACCAACAAAAGATTGCTGGGTTGGTGGATAGAGGGGAGATGCAGTGTGTTATTCTGGAAAAGACACCATACCCGTTCAAGGCCAAGTCTGCTAATTAAATGTGTGACTTTGGATAAGTCATTTGTCTTCTCTGAACTCCAGGCTCCTCCACTGTAAAATAAGGTTAAAGGAAGTGATGAGGTGAGTATTAATATATAGTGGCATCTCTGAAAACAGAGCACAGTGCCTGACATAAGTAACTGGCTGTGGTATGAGTGGTCTAATTGAGATCCAGCTGGCAAGTGCTTCCTTGGGACCTACTGTGTGCCAAGCACTATATTGGGCAGTGGAATATAAAGACTAAGGCTCAGTCTCTGCCTTGAAAGCGTTCACAGTCTGGTGGAGGAGAGAATGAGGCGAACTTCAATGTAATGTGGACAGTGGGTCTTGTATTCAATGGGAATAGAACCTGTCCGTCAGGAAGGTGAACCCTGAGCTAGTCTTGAAGGATGAATTGGAGTTTGAGTAAAGAGGGAAGGAAGAAGTGTTCCAAGTGAAGGGGGCGGCTTGAGCAAAGGCTATAGGTTCAAAACTGCCTGAGATGTGCAGGGAACTATAAGCACAGCTCCTAAGGCTGAGGGTGGGATAAAGGAAGAGGGTATTAAGAAATGAGGCCAAGGCCGGGCTCGGTGGCTCAGCCTGTAATCCCAGCACTTTGGGAGGCCAAGGCGAGTGAATTGCCTGAGCCCACAGGTTCGAAACTAGCCTGGGCAACTTGATGAGACCTCGTCACTACAATAAATCAAAAATTAGCTGGGCATGGTAGTGCACACCTGTAGTTCAAGCTACTTGGAAGGCTGAAGCAGAAGGATCACTGGAGCCCAGCAGGTCGACGCTGGGGTGGCCATGAGCGTGCTACCCCACTCCAGCCTGGGTGATGGAGTGAGACTCCAACTCAAAAAAAAAAAAAGAAAGAAAGAAATGAGGCCAGGGAAGGAGGCAGAGGTGGTAGATGCTAGAACTATGCTCAGGGGTTGGAACTTTATCCAGTAGGTAGTGGGAGCTACAGAAGGATTTTGAAGTGGGTAAATTGTAAGCACTTTGTGTTAGAGCATTCAAGGCTCTCTGCTAGGTCCCTATCCTGATTTAGTGCCTTTCTTTGGATTCAGGTGGATATTGAAGCCCTGAACAACCAGGTAGAAGAGCGAAAGCTTCGGGAGGCAGCGGAACGGAGCAAGGAAGCAGCTTTTGGTAAAAGCCCAAAGCCAGGGGCCAGACAAGGGTATAAATCAAGAGCCTAGCCTGAGTGGGGCTTGAGGCCCTGGGTGATAGAACAAACTAGATAGACCTAGAGAGCAGAAGCCATGCTAAATGGGCTCTGTCCCTCCTGTGGTACTTTCTCCATGTCCCTGCCCACCACCCCCAGGTACCAACCAGGTACAGTATGATCTAGTAGTCCAGATGCTAGAGAAGGAACAGGCAGAACGGACACGCCGGCTATCCAAGAAAGTCCAGGAGTTTCGGGAGCAGAAGCAGCAGCTCAAGAACAAGTGTGAATTTGACCTTTGGGATCTAGATCAACTCTTTCCAGCCTGTCCTGGTCACAGTGATCCCCACTGTGGTCCAGCCAGCCTACAGTGCTTCTCTGGAGAGGACCTACACAGGGCCACACGCCTGAGAATGCAGCAGGAACAGTTCAGGTACAGCCTAGAGAGGCAGCTGCAGGAGCAACAGCAAGCCAGAATTGAAGACAATTGTGCAGGTAAGCAGCCTGGCCCTCTGGACTCAGAGATCTGAGGCCCAGTGGGGAGCTGTCCTGAACTAGGTACGGCACCCAGGAGACCAGAACTGTGTGGGGAGGGCCAATTACCCACAGGGCTAATGCTCAAAAGTTAGGCTGGGCACACCCCAACCTCCCTGACTTCTTCCAGTAACTGACAGTATAGCCATTGTTCCTGATTAGCTTGGCACTCTTATTACCTGGAGGCAACACAGTACAGACAGACCTAACGGCGCTGCCATTTACTAGCTAGTTTGAGCAAATGAATTTTCCTCTCTGTGCTTCAGTTTCTTCATCTCTAAAATGGGGATAACCCAGCCTGGGCAACATAGTGAGACCTTGCCTCTACAAAAAAATTTAAAAATTAGCCAGGCATGGTGGTATGCCTATAGTCCTAGCTACTTGGGAGACTGAAGTGGATCTCCTGAGCCCAGGATGTCAAGACTATGGTGAGCCGTGATCACGCCACTGCACTCCAGCCTGGGCAACAGAGTGAGATCCTGACTCAAAAATAAATAAGGCCGGGCATGGTGGCCCATGCCTGTAATCCCAGCACTTTTGGAGGCTGAGGTGAGAGGACTGCTTGAGCCCAGGAGTTCAAGACCAGCCTGGGCAACATAATGAGACCTCATATCTACAAAAAAACTCAAAAAAAGTTGCCAGGCATGGTGGTGCACACCTGTAGTCCCAACTACTTGGGAGGCTAAGGCAGAAGGCTCGCCTGAGCCCAGGAGGTAGAGGCTGCAGTGAGCTGTGGTTGTGCCACTGTACTCCAGCCTGGACAACAGAGTGAGACCCCTGACTCAAAAAATAATAATAAAAATAAAATGGGAATAATAATCCAGATCACATGTAGTAGCTACTATTATTATGATATTGTCTGTGGCCACATCCTTCTCTTCTACTAGAAAGAAGCCCTTCAAGGGCAAGGACCATGTCTTATCTACTTGCATTGTTCACTTTTCAAATCAGGCCTGTTACAGCACCTTGTTCTGTTGAACCACTTATTGTAGTTATAGATAATTGTGAAAGTATTTTTTTTTTGTTTTTGTTTTTGTTTTTTGAGTTGGAGTCTCACTCTGTCGCCCAGACTGGAGTGCAGTGCACACCCCCGGCCACCGCAGCCTCAACCTGCTGGGCTCCAGCGATCCTTCCACCTCAGCCTTCCAAGTAGCTGGAATTGCAGGCGCATGCTACCACACCTGGCTAATTTTTGATTTATCGTGGAGATGAGGTCTCGCCAAGTTGCCCAGGCGGGTCTCGAACCCACGGGCTCAGGCAATTCACTCACCTCTTCCTCCCAAAGTGCGGG